CCTGAGTATCCGTTTTCTTGCTCACTTCCGATTTAACCGAAAATGACATACCGTATTTTCGGGGATAACGAAACTTTGTTATTTCAAATGGAACATCCCGTATATTTTCCCCAGTTGGAAAGCCCATTTTTTCCCCATTCAGGAAATTCCATATTTGTTATGGAAACTATACAAAGTGATGGTTTTATAAGCTTTTAATGTTAATACTGCGTTTTATCGAAATGCTACGAAAAAAAATAATGATTCACAAAGTAGACTATGGAAATAAAAGACAACATCAATTGTAAACGATAAATTAGTTTATTAACAATTGCATGTTATTTCAAATGTTAATACTGAAAATGTACATATGAAACTCGATGTAGCAAAGTGTAACAGGATATTTATTAAATAAATAAGAAATAAACAAAATAATACACATTAGTAACAAAAGATGTTCAAAATGCTGTCCATCAACTTGGATAGATTTATTTATTCACTTTACAAAGTTGTCATAGTTTCTACTTAACTGTTCGGGGGTAATGTTGTTAAAGACATTTCGAATGTTCTCTTTAAAGTGTTCTAAATTTTGTGGCATAGGGCTATAACACCTGTCTTTCACATACCCCCATATGAAGAAATCTGGAACTGTGATTCCTGGGCATCGAGGGGGCCTTGCTGTAGGACCTTCCCTCCCTATCCACCGATTTCCAAAGGTCGCATTCAGGAAATTTCTAGTTAGGTATCATTGCATAATGAGGCGTAGCACCGTTTTGTTGTAAATAGACTGTCCTCAACAAATTATCCTGTTCAAGTTGCGGATCAAAGAAATTTTCTAAAATGTGCAAATATGATGGGGCATTGACAATGGGATTGTTAAAAAAAAGGACCGTACATTTTTTGTTTTGATACCGCACACCAAACTGTAACTTTTGGAGAGGATCTGATATACTGATGGAAATTTCTGGGATTTTCTGATGCGCAAACTCTGCCATTATGCTTATTCGCCTTGCCATTTAAGTGAAATGAGGCTTCGTCTGACATCATTAACTTATCAAGAAAATGCATTTTTACGTAAATTAAGAGCTGAAATTGTACTCGTTTTGGAAAATCAGTTTCCTTTAATTTTTGGTGAATCTGAATTTTATAAGCATTCAATTTTAGAACATTTTTCATAACAATATGAATATTAGTTTTCGGAATACCTGTTGTGAAAGAAATTTTTCTTGTAGAAGAGGAAGCATCATTTTGTGTCATTTCCAAAATTTCAATTGCATTGTTAAGCTTATTTTTATTATTTGGAGTTCTTTATTTACGGTCAATACAACCTGAATTCCAAAAGTTTCTATACCATTTTCTAATTGAATTTTTTGTTGGAGGTTCCTCGTTAAACATAATTCTAAATTTTCTTTGTGTTGTTTTGTAAGATTTAGAGTCAGCAATAAGGATTAGATTTTCACTTAAAGTGGACATTTTTCTTAAAATAACTCAAGTACCCGAGTTGTTAATAAACCAATTTGCCGTTTATAAGTGATGTTGTCTTTTATTTCCATAGTTTACTTTGTGAATCATTATTTTTTTCCGTAGCATTTCGAAAAAAACCAGTATTTACTTTAAAAGCTTATAAAACCATCACTCTGTATAATTTCTATAACATATACAGAATTTTCGGAAAGGAGAATCAATGGGCTTTCCAACTGTGAAGAAATATACAGGGTGTTCCATTTGAATTAATATAGTTGCCCTATCCCCGAAAATACGCTGTCATTTTCGGTTAAACCGGAAGTGGGAAAAAAAGGCGGTTACTCAGGAAAAAAACTTATCAAAATTGGAAGAAGAGAAGACTGGTGAAAACCACATTTCATTATCTCAACTAGTTCAAAAGTTATATAAGGTTTAAAAAGGGTCAAAATATAATGGGGCACTCGGTATCTCACGACACCAATCAGCTAAACTATTTTTTCTGCTTGTCTGATATGCATCAATACTGCAAAAACTAAGGGCCTAATCAATTTTCAACAATACAAAATTTGTTGTTCATTCCTTTAGAAGCTACGATTTTGCATTATCTAGAAACCAATTAAAAATTGACTGAAAAATACATCATTTCTTTTTCATTTTAGTTCATTTTTAAGAAGTTTGCCATTATTTATTGTAAACCCTTACAAGATTTACATTCTTCACAATTATTTCTATCTATATCTAACGATACACACTTGTATTATATCGGATCATGTATTTACAAGACATTGTTAATATACGAGGATCTTGCAAATTCAAATTAAAGAACTATATAGTAAGCACTGTTTCAAGCCGAACAGGTGTCAAAAGGAAAGCAAATAATAATGTGTATGGATTATGCCCTCTCCACTTGTAATGAAAACCACGGTCCACTCTACTCCACATAAGAAATTTGCACGTACATCATTTGCTTTCCTTAAGGCCTGTTCGAGTTGAATTGCTCAGTGAAAAAGTTGAGCATTGGCAATGTTCCTGAATGCTAACAGGAATTACACAACTAATATTATTCTCGTTTTTAATCTAAACATCTTCAATTCTTATTTAATTTCTATTTAAACCAAATTCCTATTCTTGTTGAAACAGAAAAACTAATTTTTCACTAATTTCCCCAATTGCTTATTTTTTTACAACAATTTGACTCAGCAGAATACAGATTTTGATTTATCAGATATGAGAAACAGAAAATTTTATTTTGTTGTTCATAATATATAGGTTGTCTCTGAATGATCTGGACAAGAAGCTACTATATAATGTCGCGGCCAAAATAAAACAATTGAACTTAACTTACCTCTACCCAAAAGTTCTTCATTAAATCACTATCCAGGTACAAAGTCCTTAAGAAAATTGGTATTTTTTTAAATAACAAGAGATGACTAAACTTTTGACCACCTGGGCATTAGTACTGATCAGGGTTTCATCAAGCCAAGTAGCTTGATGGTTTTTAGAAATTACTTGACTTGTCTTGAAATTCAAGCTTTAAATTATTGACTTGTTTTTCTATAGCCATTACTCGACTTGATATCAAACAATTTCAAGCTGCTTGACATTACTTGATAACGCACCGATTATGGATGAAACGTGCAAATCTTTTTCTGTTCTGTCGTGCAAATCATGCCTTTCCATTGTTTACAAGCTCATACACCCATTTATTTACGAGATGTTGATATCCCCGAGCTGCAACGCGACTGCGTAATCCGTATGCTTAGATAGATATCTAATAGGCTAGAGTAGTGTTAAGTGTAGAGCACCAGTGGTGTGATGTTTTCTTTCATAGTACAATCTGTACGATTTAATAATGAGCGATTTATCGGAAATAGAACCATTTGAGAGCAGTTGGTCGGAGTACAATATATTAGAAGAAAATTCGGCTAAATATGATTATGCCAAAACTTTATATTGTAACAAGGTGGAACTCAACATTTGAAATGCTACGATGGAGTTTATATCAAAAAAGGTCTTTGAACATCCTCTGTGGTAATACAGATAATATGAAAGCTTTGAAGCTAACAGACATGGAATGGTCATTAATAGAACGAGTTTGTCAATACCTTAAGAGTTTTAATATTATTTCCACAATGTTACAAGGTGATGCATATTGTATGCTTCCTATGGTGATAATTGGTATAAACATGCTTCTAGATAAATTAGAAAAATGGGCTCAAGAACTTGACAATAAACCAGAAAGAAATGAAACTGATGAAAAATTAATAAATAGTATTCAAGCATCAATAGATAAAATCATCAAACATTACAAAAAAAGCAACTGGATATACTGTGTTGTTTTAATTTGAGACCCACGTCATAAAGTGGAAACATTTTCTCACACAATTTGGAGGAAAGAGTTGCAGACAGATGCAGTCAAGCATTTTGAAGAAATTTTCAAAACAAAATATTTCCAATCCGGTCCACGGCCACTATTCCCAATCGCATCATCTTCAAAACAAAATGAGGATAGTGGATGTAGCGAGTTTGACATCGATCCGCTAAGTTTATTTAGTAAGTCTCCTGTTATTTGGGAAGATAAACTTGCTTGTCGTTATGAAATAGACAAATACCTGACTGAAACACGAGCTGACAGTTCAGAAGATATTTTACAGTGGTGAAAGAGACATGAAAATATTTTTCCAAACTTAGCCGTAATGGCCAAAGATTTCTTATCAACGCCAGCAACTTCAGCTCCCGTTGAAAGGCAATTTTCCAGGGCTGGATTAACTGTTACAAAACTTCGTAACAGGTTAAGTGACAAATGCATTAGGAGCCTCATGTGCCTTAACTCATGGATGGCGAACGATGATATTAAAAACTTCTTTGAATGTATTGTTACGGATGAGTGATGAGCACAAGGAAATTGATTTTATTTGTTTTAAATAGTTTATTTGTATGTCTTATTTTTGTATTACATCTCGTTTCGAAATCCCACATGTAACAATAACTATTATAGCAATCGGTTTTATAAATAAAAAATCTTCATTGCATGGCTAACTTTTTACTTCTAGAATTAGATTCTATAGTATATTTTAACGTAATTTTAAAAGTTTTAAACTACGACTTCTGCCTACACAACACAAATCAAATTATGAAAACTTATTAATAAAGCCTGCTACTTTTTGAAAACTCAAGTAGTCTTGAAGAACTACTTGATTTTTTAAGTACTTGACACAAAACTACTTGACTTGACTTGACATTCGGATACTACTACTACTTGACTTGAACTGCGCCTAATTTCAAGCCAAGTCAAGTTCAATTAGCTTGAATATCAAGTCAAGCCGTGAAACCCTGGTACTGATGATTAGACTAGACCCAATTATGTAGCAATTCAATGGAGTCAGACGTGAACCACATATGTAAATAACCGACAATGCATTTTTTTGTTTTTTCGATTACACTTATTTGGACGCAATCATTAATATGGTAACTGTTATATAGTGTTTAGAAAAGTGTTTAACTTTCCTACTCAGATGACAAAGGTTCAGAGAAAACACGTGGGAACATTTGCATAAGCTTCGTGGTCGAGTGGTAAAGACACTTACCTCTCATTCTGGAGTCTCGGGTTCGAACCCCGGTCGAAAAGCTGGGACTTTTTCTGAAACCAGAAATTAATCCTAGCATACTCGGACACTCGGTGTGTGTCCATTGTCTCTAAATGTGTATCCCTTTCCTACACAAGGTACACTGAGGTACCTTTAGGGATACAGGAGGTTGTATTACCTGTGGTGATGTTTAATTAAACACAGTTTCTATATTTTCTTTCAAGAAACGGTTCCTTCGTTGTATAAACACACTGGTGTGCAGCAAAAATGATCCTTCTACATCGACGGAGGTGATATTTGCAAGCTTAAAGAAAGTTGTAAATTATCAACTGAAAGATGCTTCTCACTAAGACACTGATTGATGTCACATAATAATGAATACCCTGGATTTTGTGCAAAATGTCCTAAATCTCTTACTAACCCGCATACCAGGAACATTTGTAAATATTTTTAATTCAGTTTATATATTATCAAATAGTTCAAGAAAGAACTCTAATTTGTGGATGCTGTCCAATACTACATTATAACTGTCATAAATATCATGCATATCATCTTCAATATCTTGATTGTTAAATAATTGCCGAGTCTCAGAGATGGCTTGTGAGTCACCAGGATTTAATTAAGGCATGAAAGTTTTTACGTCACTAAAATATTTGTGATAATACAGCACTGCCTCCAACTACATCCCCCAACGTAATAATGATAGATTGTACAATACTGTGTCCAGCTGGAAGCGCTTCCGAAAGGACTTTCGTACAAGTGTTGTGTCTTGCTAGAAGAATTACGTTTGGTATGCGGCTTGTCCTTCCGGTAGGACGAAAGTCTACCGATAAGATAACAAAATGAAAAACAAAACAGGCATAAATCATCATTGTGCTATTAACCTCCAGTTGTTTGCGCTGGTAGAAATGAAAACAATCTTTTTAAATATGTAATTTCTATTTCTGCGGGTACTACGCAAAGTATTTATAAAACGTTGAAAACTTGGTGGGACAAACAGGATGATCTCTACTGCCGACAGTAGAGTTATTAAAATACGTTGTGGTTGCAGTGGGATGTTGTGACAAGCCACGTTTAGGGTCTTTTATAAAAATCTGTTTTGTGTTTACAATTAATGCGTCTATCCCTATATAATTTTTTAAAATTTCCTCTGCTACCAAATGTAGAGTGAGGACCATACATGTTACATGTAGTAAATGTAGAAAGTGAGTTTTTAGTAACTGTCCACCAAGATCTAGAATTTACGATATCACATTTGCCACATAATTACCTGTTGCGTCCATCATTTCGTCTACTGATATCCATTTTTTCTTGTTTTAATATATCCCCAATTTATTTTAAAATCGCTTTCCGAATGGGAGTTACCTACTGGATGCAATGCAACATGCCTTTGTATCTTTCACGTGTACTTAAACGCAAAGAATATAATCTTTGTTAAACGTAATATAGGTTCGTTCTCTGCGACGCTGCTGAATTACTCAAAATTTGGCATAGTTTACTGATGATCGAACAGATGACCTTAAAACATATTTATTGCCAGTATAGATAAATATCCTAAATTTGATCACAATAACTGAAAGCATTCTTTTGTTATTTAAAAAAAAAAAACAATTTTCTCAAAAACTTTACCTTCGATAGCGACCTAATGAAACACTTTTGAATAGAGATGTTGGGTTCACCGTTGAACTTGAAACTATGTGACAGCTTTTTGTGTAAACCATTTAGACACCCTGTATCCCTTTTTGTTTTTGCTGGCTGCTGTTTTTTCATAAGAAGGCGCCCATAAAAAATGTATAACATTGTCATCATTTATTTGTCCATAAAAATGAAACAGATACACAGTTACTGTAAAAATTAATTAAATAAGACATGCCAAATAAAAATAGTTTTCAGTTTTTGTTCCGCTAAAACACATTTCTTTTTTTTTTTTTAATTAAGGAAATTTTCTCTGTCCTAAATAAAGACGAATCTTTTCAGCCGTATGTTTGTGAGAGTTACAACAGAACACCTTCTTGTAATATTTAAATATAGAAACATATACTGAATATTAAAAAGATTAATGCCATATTTTACGCCAGAAGATCCAAAACATCTCACAGAAGAAAAAAATAGTATTCATTGTCCCTTATATTTCAAATTCACAGAATATCGCCAAATATCTGAAAGATTTAATCAACACGTACCTGTTGTATCTAGTCCCATTTTGCCGTTGACGTCTAACTAGAGTAATTCCTTCCGCGAGGTCAATAACGTCACGGTTGAGGGTTCTATCAAATACTAGCAGGCTCCCACGCTTGAGACAATCTTGCAGGATTATCATGAATCGCTCAGGCGATTTCATAGACCCAAGACGAAAGCAGTGTAATAATAATTCGGTCATTTTTCCGACTTCGACCCATATGCTGCTTACACCCACCGTCTTAGTACTTACTACTTTAAACTTGTCCGGGTTTATCGTCAGGAATGCAAGGAAAATAGCGATGCAGCACGACTTGCAAGGAAACATCCTGGGAAATAAACGAAAGAATGTAATAAGCATTATTGTAACAGGAATGTCTTAAACCCACACGCAATACTTTATTTCGATTTCAGTCTCAAATTGTTTTAGAAGAACATTTTTTTTCTTTTACTTTGGTGAAGTTACAATGAAACATATTCCTGTGCGGAAGTAGACGATCTAGAGTTACGCTCTGATATTCACTTATATTTGTGTTATTTTGGTGGACACTTTCAAGAAAGGAGTTATGGTGCAACATAGAAATCTGTTTGAGATTGCAATTGCAATTACAATGTTATCGTTTTACGTTTACATAAATTTAAAGTCGCTAAAGATTTTAAGGCACCTCAAGAATTTTTACCACTATAATTTTTTTAGAACTGTGTCTATAATGAGAGAACATATTTTTTATAGCCAGCTGTTAAAAATTAATAAAGAAATTTAAACCGAAGTTAATTAAAATTGCTGCTATAAAAAATTTTATAAGAATTATTAAGTAGAATATTGCAATAATTTCAATATTAATATGAAATCATAAATTTTCTTGTTGTGCGTGTGTATGTATCCATTGAAAAGAACAATATTGAATAGCAGAGAGAAAATGTTGGGAAGGGAATGAATAGGCAATTACAAAAAATTAAAAATCAAAACAAGAGGCGAGAGACTATTTTTCCACTGAAAATTTTCAAGAAGATACGGACATATAAATGCTGAGGTTGATGGAACTGGAGATCGATACTTTGACCCATGTAAAGATTAAAGGAGAAAGAAGGCCACATGATACTTTCATTTGCTAATTACCTTCCTAGAATGATCAAATTTCGTGATAGGCATTCCAAAGATAGTTCGAAGAAGCTCCACATTCAAACAATTGCAGCTAAAGTGACGGCAATTATTTTAGCGCTGAGAAGGTTAAGTATTAGAGTTACTCTAAACGATTTTCCTAAAACAGCAACAAGACTTTATGGCTGTGAACTGAGATATCGCAACCAACATTTGCTCCAAGTTTATGAAGCTATAATCAAATTATGTAGGCAAAGGGCTGTAGATTGTCACCAGAAATTTTAAATATTTGAAACTGTTGTGAAAAGACAGTGCATGCACTTCCGCACGATCAGACTATAATATACGAAGTTTGACTGTGGAGAAAACTACCAGATAAAGTTCAAATTTTACGTTTGACATACAAAAGTTGATCATCCAGTTATTAACTAAACGAATCCTGCGATGAAATAGGACCAATAACAACGTGAAGAAAGGACAAGTTCGCTGTTTTCAATGCAGCAAAATAGACCATTTGATTTGGGACTGTCGTAAGCGCAGTTTTGATGGTATGAGTTACGGCGTCCGCTATTTTAAATCCGTCAATATACACGGAACATCAAGTGAAGCTGTCACAGCTCTAATGGAATTGATGCTGTGGTGGTTGATGCTAATAAATGTAATACCTCAAGAGAAATAATAGTCTGCTGTCAGATTATTTAAACGAAAAAAAATACAACCATAAATCATCAGGGTTTCAAAATAAATATATTGCAAAATAGTATGATCGTCGTAGCAGATGGAACATAAAAATATAAATATATTTACAATAGAATTGGATGTTATGGAAAAGTACGAATTTATATTTGATGTTCAAGTATAAATAAAAATACATTTGCAACAGATGAAAACAATTCCTAAATATAAATCTATTGAACTCAACGACAGCTAAGCTTCCCAATATTTGCAGGGCACTGTGCTAAGATGACCGCAGACTGCAATCGAGTAGAGAAGCAACAGGATAGGATACTACCAATATGCTTAGAACAGAGGTTCTGAATATCCATAAGATGGATACATGAAACAGAGTCGTAGTAAGTAACTGGGTGAAGATCCGTAATTATCTCACGGTCAGAAGGTGACATATGGTAGATCTAGTCTGCTCATATAATCCACAACATTATTCACAATATGAATCGAATTTAAGAGAACGAATCCGCTGTCAAACATAGAAAATTGATATCTACAGTGCCTAGAGATAGATACTAGAGAATCTAATTGTCTGATTGGATGTATAGATTTGAGGAAGGGCTCTATAAACCTATAAATTTATAGAGCCAATTATTCAAGAAAAATCTAGATTATCTCAGAATACCCAGATACAGATATACATATACGTCCACAGAATTGACTTCTTTTTCACGATAATGTTTTAAATTATGCAACTAAATTAAATTCATTTGCAAAAAACCTATTGGAAAATTTTGATAAAAATAAAATCATACACACTCCAACCAATCGTTCATCGTATCAAATCAATAATTTAGAAGCCTATTATTTATAAAAAATTTCAAGTATCTTAAAATATTTATTTCTTTTGCTACTGACATTTATTTAATATGCTACAAGTATCAACATCATTTCTCTTCAGCTACTCCATATTCAAGGTAATAAATAAAATTTTAAATTTATGCCAAATATAGTATAAGTATCAATAATTGAAACATATTATTATGTTTTACATTTAATTTTTGCAGTAAACAAAAATTAGAGCTTTAAAAAAT